CAAGATTGTCTAGTAATTACTCTAGTTCTAATCATAAAAACTTTGCCCCAAAATATCTCGATAACGCTCTTGTAGATTTCGCTTCAACTTCACTAACATCAAGGCCACTTTTGGAGGAAAAAGCTCATGAAAGATTTTGAAAGAATAGTTCCCAGTGCTGAGAAATAAACAAAAGGTAATGGCGTCATTTCGTTGCCATATATGACAACTGCGATGTCATGGTAACCATGATCTTTACCTAATACAGCTGTGGTGGTAACCTTTCCAATTCTTTGTTAATGTCCACGTAGTTTATGTTCAAACTTGGAGGTACTGACCCTGAAAAATCCTATCGAGCCACCTTAAATAACGACGATGGCGACAGCAACGAGAACGGCAAAAAGCAAAAACGGAATTGATCAAAAAAACAACTTTCAGTTAGCACTTGGATCACGGCTACGAAACGAAACTGCATAATTTCACGTTTTGTGGAGGGGTGAACACAAGACAACGACCCTCTTTTTCTATTCTGAACTTTGATACAGTCCTTTAGGATTCTACTCCACAAAAATTCATCAACATTTGACAAATTTAACGAGTTGGAAGGATGATAAAGTTTGAAGCAGAACGAGCACACTTTCGTAGCCGTCGCTATCGTTGTTGTTTAAGCTCCCTAATATCCCCGGCGACGGAACCTTAAAAGCTATTAGGGGCGCCTGTATTAACAAGTTACATTGTGTACAGAGGTAAATGTTTGTGGCCTTAATAGAGATGTTAAAACAAGAGTGAATGCATTATGCACCTGGAACATACAGGAGTGTCTGTCACCGAAATATGGCCTTTAAAAGGGGTTCGACTTCCTGTATTTTATAATTCATTTTTAACCAATTCTTCTATTTACATGAGTGACTTTAGGGTATTAGAAGAGCTAACGATGATGGATTCAAAAACGGCCATGGCATTAGGAACAAGAGTCAGGGGCACCCAACGACGGTTTCCTCCTAAATACATTGAAAACACTTTTTAGGCTGTCCAGAGTACTTTTATAGCTCTAGAAAAAATGCACTCTTAGTGGCCCTATAAAATTTGCATCTATTCGGTCATCCTAGGTGAACTGGAGTCTTTAAGAAGTGGGCTTCTGGATTCGTTATTCGAAAATTTTGGATGCAATTTAACGTATTACGAATGTGAGAATTTTTCTGATTCCTCTATCCATCACATTTTTGAATCCGAAAATTTTAGGTTTCCTTTTTCTACGAAAATAGCCTAACCTGGGGAGTGAAATATGAAAAATACACTTAAGAAAATCGTAGCGTATTTATTAGCTACGCTTCGAAAATTGTACATGAATGGAACGGTCAATTAGAAATTTTTACCCGTACTCAGGTAATAGAAAAATTCTACGCAATATCCGCTTTGTCCTAACAGATATTTTACAGAAAGAAGCCGTCGGGTGCCCCTGAAGAGGGGCAATTTATGTTACCAAATTAACTTTAACTTTATCCTGATTAGACTGATAAATATACTGTTTTTAACCAGAAATGGTAATCGAGAATAAGCTTGTCATCTGCAATATTTATCCTTACCAAAAAACTGGAATGTTCCCATTTGACTGAAAAAACAAAGAAGACGGCAAACCCAGCCTTTCAACACATCTCTCACCTAAAACACAAAAAAAATTAAAAACTGAAGATTTTTTAGAAGTTTTACACCAACATATGTGCAAATTACTGTAACCAAGGTTCTTAAACCATGATTTCTTGTAATCAGAGCTTCAATTGTTCAACGGCCGATTAGCTCTAATTTTAAACCGGATTTCCTTACCATTGGTTCAAAAGCATTTTTTCAGACAATTTCTCTATTCTTCTCGGAACATCCACTCATCAAATTGAGAACAAAAAGAATAACTGAATTTGCTGTAAGCTTTTATATCTAAATTCAACCTAGCCCTGATTTCATGGTGATGATGTAATGAGTCACAACCTAGCTAGTTTACGAAAAGTTGAGCTATAATTTTGTTTTATATTCTTTATCTGCTTCAAAATTCCTGTGCATGATTGTTTAATTGTACTTAAATAATGATTGGTTACCTGGCATCCGTAGTAGGATGCCGGGTGCTTCGCCTAGCCCGGTTACCCGGGTACGAGGGCTAAATCATTGCCCGCCCTGAAGTGTAACTCTACTAAGCGGCATGGCCAGCAGAGTGGCGAGGAAATAAGTTAAGTTGGCAGACAAAAAATACGTTCACGTCAGACTAGTTCATGAGCCGTTTGACTTTATTGCGATTGACCCACTACAGTGACGTCTCCAGATTCACAAACTTTCTGTTCCACAGGTATCTCTGATTTGTAGGGAACTACTCGGAATCAAAGAGCCCTGCATGACAATACCGTTTACATGACAAAAAGATACCCTCGTTGAATGGTACCGCTGGCTGGCGGGTTTTCCTATCTAGCGTGTTAATCAGCGTTGTTGTCTTAATTGAAAGGTTGGATTCACGGGGAACCTCACTTAACTGGGCAGCCCTCCCTACGTCCAAGTAAATACAGTGTCAACGTGACCCAAGACTTTTTAAAACTCAACTTTGTGGGTGTTTAACAAGTACCTTCGGCGTTGAAAACGTGTATAGAACTGGATTAACAGAGGAGTTGATTGGCAGAACAAAAACAGCAAACCACACATAAACCGTCCCGTCAGGATCTTTGAATTTACCAAAGAGAGCAAGAATGCTCAGGATTACTACAGGGACCCAGCAACTGAAGTCAGTTAAGATGATGGCGAACACTCTCCGTGCGAGCGTCGACTCTCTGTTGAGGCTGGTATTGGATTCTCCGTTTGAGGTGATTCTCCGTTGTGATTTAAAGACCGTGAGTATAATGAAAATGTAAGCTGCCAGGATGAAAAGGAAAGCTGCGAGATTCAGAATGATGAATATGGCAACTGAATATTCCCAGCCTGCAAGTCGTTCTGAGGACAGTTGGAGAGGAAGACAAACCGACGAACGACCTGTATGGGACAAAAGTTATTAGATTGAGATTAAAATGCTTGCTGTGCACCAGACTTGATGAGATTTAATGGAAGGTTTTTAATCGTTAAAACATTTAAATGACAGTTGGAAAAATTAAAGCCCAGCTCTACTTAATCCTAATAAGGTTACAATGTAGGTTTTGGACCGATGGTGGCACAAGAATACCCGTACTGTTTTAGGAGAGCCATAGATTCAACGGATTTGGAGGTCCGGGGTTCAAGCCGTGCCCTTCGCGTTGTT